CTCATCTTGGTCATCCTCATCTTCTTAAAGCACATGTTCCATAGTAAATACTACAAAGCAGATGTCAGCTGATTGGAAAAGCTTTTTGTCCATTGAAGAAAAATAAAAACTTTTCTCTTATAAGTAACATCTTTGCTTCTTTACTTGTATCGGTTTCCACTGGACACTGGTCAAGACTTTTAAACATCTTACATGTAGATTTTTAAATGTCCAAAACAAATGGTTCCTTTTACCCTTTTAACTTTTACCTCTTGGTTTTTAACCTTTGCCACCTTGTCCACAATTGCAGCAGTTTGACCGGACCGATGGTCAGTGTTAAGAAACAATTAATTAGCCTTTTGCAAATTTGTTTAATTAACTATCAAGCAGCTGAGAGATGTTGATGTTTGATTTTGTTATTATCTTTGGTTCTGGTGTTGATGATGATTATTAATTGTTTACAATTAGTTGATTACTTTTATTACTTTGGTCTCATCTTAATTGTTGTTGATCAGGTCGCAGTTTGTTGAGTTGATACCTGAAAGGAAATTAACTTAATTATTGTTATTTGTTATTGATTTAAGTTGATCATCAACTTTTACCATTTCCTTTTTTCTGATACGAAACAATTAACTTTAACCAATTACCATTGGTAGTTATGATGATTTAGTTGATTTGGTTGATGATAATGATAATCAAGTTGTAACAATTAACTTTTATTAAAAACTCTCATTATCTATCAGCTCTTTGAATGGTAAATCATTTACAATCATAATTATTATTAAATTATTATGCACCAATAAAGGGAAACCTTAATTGTAATTGTAATTGTCAATCTTTCAAAATGATAAGTAAATTGTTAACTTTAAATTGTTGATATTTTTGTGCTTATTGAACTTTAAAAACCGGAAGGTGATGATGATGATTAACCGTAGGTCCGTTGGTGTGTGTGTACAATTGATATTGACAATGATGATTATAATTAGTGACTTCCTGATGATCAGTTGATTGTTATTAACATTTAACTGCATCACTCTCACTCTCTCCCAATGGTGATAACTGTTTTTAACGGGAAAATGGCCTTTTGGCTTGAAACAGACTTTAAGGGAGAGAGAGAGAGAGAGAGAGAGAGAGAGAGAGAGAGAGAGAGAGAGAGAGAGAGAGAGAGAGAGAGAGAGAGAGAGAAACGGGAACTTGAAGTGAAAGTGATTCTATTATCTATTTATATGGTAGATCATTTTTAGGACTTTAAGGTCGCAGGTCGAGACCTTTTTCTTCCGGGATGGAAGATGAAAGTAGAAAGTTTTATCTTCTATTCCTTTGGATGAAAAAGATACAATAGTTTTATTCACTTTCTCTTCTCTTCCTTTTTCATCCTCATCATTATCATCTCTTTCTCTCTCTTCTTCCTCATCCTCTATTCACTTTCTCTCTCACTCTTACTTTTATCAACCATATTGAACGTCTGGTGAAACTCTTAGCACGTACTAGTGACACGTGGATGCAAAGGACGTGCGTCTGTTTTTAAAATACACGCGTCTGTTTCTTCAGGTAAGTGAAAGTATAAGATGATGAGGATGAGGATGAGGATGATAAAGATTATTGTTTGATTTGCTTTCGATTTTATAATCGAATCCAAAGTTGGACAGAAGTTTTCGTTTTCCTTTCTTTTCTCTTTCTTTTCTCTTCCTTTTCTTTCTTATTAATATTTCTCTCTCTCTCTCTCTCTCTCTCTCTCTCTCTCTCTCTCTCTCTCTCTCTCTCTCATCCCTCATTCTAAATTTGTTATTATGACGAATTAAATTAATTTAGTTTACTTGATTTGTGGTTAATTTTTCATAATTAATTTTCTCTGATTAGGTTGATTTCTTTGCACCGGATCTTGTTTTTTACTTTTCATTTTGGTTTTCATTTTGCTTCCGGTTGTTGTTGTTGTTTTTTCATTTGATTTTCTTGTCTAATTGTATTAATAATAATTTAGTTTGTGATGGTTAATCGCTGATTATTATTATGATTAGTGTATTATTATTATTACAATTGACTGGATTAGTTAATTGGCAATTTGTCATCTTGATTGGTTCATTGATTTGTCTTTGCATTTGTAAGCTGTTTAATTTACCTTCCTGTCCAAACTGATAGAAACAATCAAATCTAATTGTTAATTGTTGTCCCTCTAATTTTTATAATCACAACTATCGAAGGTACAAATTTTAATGGTTATCATGACAATTAAAACTAATTACAGTTACTGAATGTTACCGTTAATTGTTTTTGATTTAACTTTTCACTGGAATCGCAATTGGTTGCAAATCAAATGATTGAAAATAGACAATCAAAGATAATGTTGATCATTAATCTCTGCGTTTTTGTTTAATCAATTGTTGATTAATTGTGATAGACAATTAGACTAATCAGTAAATGACAAATACTTTAAGAAAATCAATGGAACCCAATTTATTATCAAACTTTTACAATTAATTTCAATCTGATGATAATTTGATATTTATAAGCGTGTCAGCTAATCACAATTAAAGGTCATCATTTATGATGATAATAATAATCCAGGTAAATGATGATGATGATGATAAATATGAAGATAAAAGAAAACATGTTGATCGTGAAAAAAAATTCGAAAATAAAAACCAGAAGGAACGAGGAAGAAGATTTAAATTCGATAATCTTTTCTATCATCATCCTTGAGGTAAATTGTGTTTCTATGATGATGGAAAGTGAGAGTAGCCCACATCCCGAAATTGAGGTGATGATGATGAGGTATCAAAAGAAGAGCACACGAGAGGAAGATAAAGAAAGAGAAAAAGAAAGGGAGAGAGAGAAAATCTTAATATAAATCGCAGATTTAACTTTATCATCAATCGTTTTAACAACAACATCTTATTGTTGTTATTTCCTAGATGATGATCATCATCATCTTCCTCCTTCCTCTTCCCCTCTCATCTTCTTGTGCAAGTTCCTATGGTGCCCGTGCCAATGTGCCTGTTGTTGTGTACATGTGTCTCTCTCTCTCTCTCTCTCTCTCTCTCTCTCTCTCTCTCTCTCTCTCTCTCTGTCACTTTTATGTCTATGTACATGTGTGCGCGCGCGAGCTGTGTGTGTCTCTTGTTTACTCGCGTGCCGCGTGTTTAGCACGTTACAACCTTAAGGATCCATTTATGGTTTTTATCATCATCATCATTCAACAGCTGGATTAAGGCTGCCAATGTGTTAAAGCTGCTTCATATGTAAGTGAGTCGACACAGAGAGAGATCTTCCATCTCCCTCTCTGTGTCTCTTTCTCTCTGAAAATTTAAAGAAAGAGAAATAAGAAAGGAACAAGAAAGAAAAGAAAGAGAAAAGAAAGTAAGAAAAAGACAGATTGCTTTTTAAACGGAAACGATGCTTAATATTGTTCATCTGTTATCTAATCATGTATATATTTTTCGTCTTCCTCTGTTAATTTTACTCTCTCTCTCTCTCTCTCTCTCTCTCTGTCACTTTTATGTCTATGTACATGTGTGCGCGCGCGAGCTGTGTGTGTCTCTTGTTTACTCGCGTGCCGCGTGTTTAGCACGTTACAACCTTAAGGATCCATTTATGGTTTTTATCATCATCATCATTCAACAGCTGGATTAAGGCTGCCAATGTGTTAAAGCTGCTTCATATGTAAGTGAGTCGACACAGAGAGAGATCTTCCATCTCCCTCTCTGTGTCTCTTTCTCTCTGAAAATTTAAAGAAAGAGAAATAAGAAAGGAACAAGAAAGAAAAGAAAGAGAAAAGAAAGTAAGAAAAAGACAGATTGCTTTTTAAACGGAAACGATGCTTAATATTGTTCATCTGTTATCTAATCATGTATATATTTTTTTCGTCTTCCTCTGTTAATTTTTACTCTCTCTCTCTCTCTCTCTCTCTCTCTCTCTCTCTCTCTCTCTCTCTCTCTCTCGTTCTCTGTCTTTTTCTGTGTCTGTACGTTCCTTTGATTTGTTTTCTAGTTGATAGCAATTAAACATACACAGAGAAAAGGTAATGTGTTTTACCAGAAATCAAGTTAATTGTTGTTGTCTGGATTTGTTTTCATTTCTAGTAAAATATATTAACGAACTTGATTGTTACCATTGATTGTTGTTGATTTGTTTTTTTTGTCTCACTCAGTCTTATCTCCATAGACCCAGGCGGATATATTTACCTTCATCCGTTGGTTAATTTTGTTGTTATTAAATCAATTGATTCATTTTTTTACTCTCCAATTAACGAGGCTGATTAACTGTTAATCTGTTTCAATGGTATTGGTTTCATTTAATTTTTTCCCTCTCATTATGATTAGTTGATTAGGTGATTTGTGATTACTTTGTATCTAATTGTTGCACATGGTTTAGTTTTCGGGTTTGCTGTTGATTGTTGAAAGATTTTTAAGAAAAATTCTTGTTAATTGTTAACCTAATTATCACGATTTCTTTCAAAGTTCTGTTTCTATTAGTCTCTAGATAAATTCTGGTTAACATGTTTGGCAGATTATAAATCTCATCAATTGAATTAGTAATCAACTGGTCAAGTTTTGGTACTAATTGAGAGCTAATTGTTACTTCTAGAGGAAAAAAGTTGATCGGTCTATTACTTTGTCAGAAAGTAAATTAGTGTTAATTGTTGATCCGGTTTTCTTTTTAAAAAAAGATACAAGTTTCCCTTGGAATTGTCAAAAAAAAAAGGATTAACCAGATTAACTCGAGACCATTTTTCTTGTTGTTTTTCCGGTGGAATTAAGAAACTAAGTCGGAAAATTGGACATTCACAAAGAAAATTTTCTATTATAAGAACAATTAACTCGTAATTAGATAAAGTGATTCGATAAAACTGTATTTCCTTCTAACATGTTGTATTCAAATGTTTTCGTAAATCTAATTAACTAAAAGTTTTTAATTCTTCGCCAGGGTTACCCCTTCTCTCGGCAGATGGCGCTTTTTCTCAGAAGGCGGAGTTTCGATTATGTTGAAAACTTTTTCTCTCTTTACTTTTGACTCTTTGAAAATCAGTTCAACTTTTGCCTCCGTTAGTTTAACCTCACAATTTATGTTCTCAATTTTTTTTTCTTATTCTTCTCTCTAGTTGCTTGTTGATTTTCTCTTTCTTTTTCTTTCTCTTTCTCTTTCTCATCATCATCATCATCTTCTGCTCTCTTTTTCCAATCTGTCCATCTTTTCTCTCAACGTCGTTTTCTTCTCAATCGTCTTAGTGTGTTGATCGTTTGATCTTCAATCTTTTTTTCTTCTTTTGGATTTTTTCGTGGTTGTTTATTATTCTCTCTCGCCTGTGAATTTATTTATGTGTGTCTTTTGCCTTCTGCTTTTTTCCTCACAATCATCTTACCTTCATCATCTTCTCCATCATCAACACCATCACCATCGACAATATTTATATTACAAGAATTGAAAATCATCACGTTCTCTTGATTCTTTTTTTGTCTTTGTCCAAAAAAAAGTCCTTCTCATAACCACACACATTAACCAATATGACGACTTCACCTTCTTCCAAAGCTAATTATTTTCTTCTATATGTTTACTTTTTTATTCTATTAACGACAACCAATTTTTTCCAAATCATCAATGCCGATGGAATTTTCGAAGTTAATCTTATTCCAAAGTGTAAAGGTAAATCACCTTGTACAACCTATTTCAAAGTTTGTCTTCGACACTACGAGAAAACAGTTAATTATGATGATGGTTGTTCTTTTGGTGAGACAACAGTTTCTCCAAATGAATATGATAAAATTCACCAAATCAAATTAAACTTCTCATGGCCTCGTGATTTTTCATTAATAGTAGAAGGTTTCAACTCAGGTAAGAATTAAATTCTATTCTATTTTATATTATTCTAATCTTGTTACCGCCATAATTTCTTTTGGATATTTTCATATTCTATATTTATATTTATATTCTAATTGTCTATATTATTATTTGTTCTCTTAGAACGATATGCTGCTAAGGATCGTATTCTTCGTCAAGCATTCCAAGAAGCATTAGAAGTACATTCTGATTGGATCGAGCGATCAATTCGTTTCAATTCAACACAATTAACAACCAAAATGCGTGTTCTTTGTGATTCCAATTTCTATGGTAAAGATTGTGGTCAACGTTGTGTTCCTCGTGATAATAAATATGGACACTATGAGTGTAACGATAAGGGACGAAAATGTTTACCTGGTTGGCGTGGGGATTTTTGTGATGTACCAGTTTGTGCTGATGGTTGTCTTAATGGTTCATGTAAATCACCTGGTACTTGTGAATGTGCTGAAGGATATGAAGGTGCACTTTGTGATAAATGTAAACTTTTCCCTGGATGTCAACATGGTTCATGTAAAAAACCTTGGGAATGTAATTGTGATGAAGGTTGGGGTGGTAACTTTTGTGATAAAGATCTTAACTATTGTACTCATCATCATCCTTGTGCCAATGGATTATGTTACAATAGGGGTGACAGAACTTATACCTGTGAATGTATTATGGGCTATACTGGTATTAATTGTGACATTCCAGTAAATGATTGCTCAGATTCACCCTGTATGAATGGTGGTACTTGTTCACAATCAACATTAACCACAAATTATACATGTACATGTCCATTTGGTTTTACTGGAGTTAATTGTGAGAATAGGATCTCATCTCAATGTGATTGGAAACCATGTGAAAATGGTGGTACCTGTTCAAATGGACCATCGGGTTACCTATGTATCTGTCCACCGGGTTATGCTGGACCTAATTGTGAGATAAGGGTTACCTCATGTAATCAATCACCTTGTCTAAATGGTGCTACATGTTCATCTTCATCTACATCATCATACTCATGTAATTGTCGAGCTGGTTTCAATGGTACACATTGTGAATTAAATATAAACGATTGTACTTCTGATGTTGACCTTTGTTTCAATGGTGGTACTTGTATTGACGGGGATAATTCATATACCTGTTCATGTGCACCAGGTTTTACTGGACCTTCTTGCCAAACAAATATTGACGATTGTAATTCAAATCCATGTTTAAATAATGGACAATGTACTGATTTAATCAATGGTTTCTCATGTAAATGTGAACCAGGTTTCTCGGGTATTGATTGTTCATATTCAATTCTAGCGGAAACAATTGTTGGACCACCACCATCATCATGTATTCCTGGTTATTGTCTCAATGGTGCTGAATGTAAAGTCATACCTTACATAGCATCTTCATCTTTATCTTTATCATCAACAATAACAACAAGTATCGCAACTTGCTCATGTCGACCCGGTTTTTCTGGACAACGTTGTGAAAATATACCCGGTGTTTTAGCTCGATCGGAGAAATCACTTCCAGAATCAACTAAATTACCAACCGATTCTGTGACACAATTAACCACAATTCCAACTCTAACAACAACGACAACTGTACCATCTCCTAAACAATTGATTGTACACTTTACAACTCCTATTCCCGCTCCGGTTTCATCATTTTCATCCTTTGAAAGGATAATCACCACTAGTGAAATGACTTTGATCTCATTATTAGCTATTATAATTCCACTTGTATTAGTTTGTTTAATCTCTTATCGATTTAGTAAACGACGAATTCGTCGAGAAGAGAGACAACGATACGAAAATGAGGAAGCCATTAGACAGAACGAAGAGAACAGTTCAAAAAAGTGCCTACAAAATGATTCATGTTTAATCTATAACGATTTAAATCGAGATTCAATGAGAATAATTAACGGTGGTCAACATCATCATCATCATCATCCTGCTGCTCTCTCATTATCACATCCTCATCTTCATCCCTCTTTACTTTCACCTTCACAACAACCCAACACAATACTTGCAACAGTATCACCTCAATGTACCTCATCATCCTTACTTTCACCTTCATTATCAACAAAATCATCTTCATCTTGTAATAAAAAATTATCTAATAATGACGATTACATTGTCAATGAACTTACCATTGATCCAAATCTGACGATTTATGGATTAACACCTCCACCCACATTACCACCATTAACATTAACCACCGATCCATCGGGCATCTCAACGACAACATCACATTCATGTCATCCCTCTCCAGTGTACACTAAATATGCCACTCTAACCAGTCATCATCATCTTCATCCTCATCTTCATCAAGGTGGCTCAGTAGTTGATTTACATTATCTTCATCATATTGTTACATAAGAAAAAAAACTTTTCTTCTCTAAAAACTTTTCAAACAATCACAACGAAAATATAACTTAACGAACTTTTCTAATTAGTCCAAAACACAATCTCATTGGGAGATTCACACATCATCATCACCAAGAAAATGAACGAAATCAACAATTGATAATTAGTTAATTATCAAATAAAAAAACAATTCCTTTCTCTCTCTCTATTTTGTCAGATTAACAGTGATATTAATATAAACAATCAACAGCTCAAACCAATTCTCAATGTTAATTTGTATTATAAATTTATAATTGAATTTAATATAAATATGTAAATATGATTTATAATCAATATATAATGTGTTCATATCAAAAGAAGCAAAAAAAAAAACAATGAAAACAATCAACAACAATCTATAAATTATGTGAAATAATTGCAAAAACAATTCAACCAAATTGATTAATATAAATAGTAAACAATTTTTTTTGTTTCAAAACAAAAGTAAAAAATTCAAATACAAAATCAAAATTGTCTCTTAATTGTTTAACCTTAAATTGTTATTTATTTAACCTTTTAACTATCTCGTGTCTGATTGTTTCCCCTTGCGATTAACAATCAACTCTAATTGTGATGGTTTGACCAAACCAACGCAATTAACGTCAACCAAAAATTAGAATCAATTGTTTACCTTTTTTTTTTGTCATACGATTTTCAAAGTAAATCAATTGACTCTTTTACCACCTTAATCATAACCTATGGAAGTTGATGAAATGATGAAGATAAAGGTAAGATGTTGATGAAGAAGATGAGACGATGATGATGATGATGATGATGATGATGATTGATTAATGTCAACACTTGGAAAAGAATAGAAAAAAAAATTTTCTTTTCTTACCTGTTCGTTATTATAACTTTTTCCCTTGAAATTGTTTTCATCTTGATTCGGTTTCCTTATGTTGGTGTTTTATGAGTAAATTGTGACAGATTAACTAATTATAGTTTTCTACTCTTACCTGTGTGGGGTAACAATCAATCAAATCATCATCTATATCTTGATCATCATCAACCGGAAATAATAGTTTAAATTTTTTCCATTCTTTATCTTGTTTTTTGTTTATCTTCACTCTGACATTTTTTTTACTACATTGACCTGTTGCTATTTTTGATTGTGGCTCCTTTTTGTGTATTCATTTGGTTTAATAATCAACTTCCATAGCCCCAAGGTATTAATTTAGAAATTAATTGTTAATCGTCATGTTAATGGTTTGATAATTGTTAATTTAGAACATAAAACAAGAAGAAGAAAAGAAAAGAAAAGACAAAACCTTGACTTGATTTCCTTTTCCTTTTTCCAGTTTCTCTTCTGATTTGTTTTATTCTTTCTCTGTGTCTTGATTAATCTTAATTGTCTGGCTAATCAAAAATCTTAATCAATATTTTAACAAATACCAGTGATTTGGTTAAGTTGATCGGTTAATTTGTTCTCCATTTTAATCTATGGTCGCCATCTTGGAAAATTCTCTTAACCCTTTTCCCTCTCTTTTTCTTTCTCTTGTTAGATAATCAATCGGTTCCCATGGAGATAAGACAAACATCGACTGACTTTTATTCCAACATAAGATAAGAGAAAAATAATTGACACTAAAAATCCTCTTGGGACATTTTTCTCTTTCACTTCCTTTGGCTGTTTGATTATTTTTCTTTTTTTTTTAAATCTAATTTCTCTCTTCTACTCTCCTTCTTTCATCTATTGTGAGATTTTATGTGTTAATCGTTTTAATCTTCTTCTTCTTTATCAATCTAAATTGTCAACTAATCAGTGTAAAGGTGAGTGTAGAAAAAAATGTTATTAAGTTATCATCATTGCATTTTTTTTCATTTAGATTGTTTTGATTTTCTCTTTCATCACTTTACCTTCAACTCTTCATCTTATATTACCAATGATCTTCCATTGTTTTTATCATCATCTCATCGTCATGGTTTTCATTTAATCTTTTTCGTTGTCTCTTTTTATCTCCTTTATTGAGCCGGTTGCTGATTTAATTTTTTACCATGATCAGAGAGAGTCATCATCATTTTCTTCATCATCTTACCTGGTGTCATTGAATTGAATGGACAATTTAGCTGTGAGAAAACAAGAGAAAGCTCAAAAAGTAGTAACTTCTTTAATGAATGAAAGGAGAAAGGAAAAGATTTGTCTTACAGATGGATGACAACTTTTCCTCTCTCTCTCTCTCTCTCTCTCTCTCTCTCTCTCTCGTCTTCTCCTGATTTTGAAAAGTTCCACTGCCTTTTTTATGAAAGATTATTATCACTCTTTTTTCTGGTTTCCTCGGTCTGTGAGAAAATAAGTGCAAGGCACTACATGAGGATAAGAAACAAGAAGAGGGAGGAAGAAGGAGAGAGCAGAAAACTAGAGAGAGAGAGAGAGAGAGAGAGAGAGAGAGAGATGGTGATGATGAAAAAAGTCAGTGGATGAATAAATAAGAGTCTTAAGCTTCTGGATGTTCATGTTTCCATTTACTATGTAATATTACAAGATGACGATCGTTGCGGTTGAAAGCCTATGGAAAGTTAAGCATGTGGATATTGGTGGTTACTCTCGCTCTCTCTCACACACACTCTTGTTGTTTTCTACTCCATTGTTGTTGGTTCAAGATTTTTCAGAGAACTATGTTCTCAGAACGAAATTAAGGAAAAGGTTGTCACACACAAAGTGGAATTATTGTCATAAAGAAATTATCATAACGAAATAGAAGAAAAGTAAGAAGCAAGAGAGAATCTTGGGATAATTATAACAATACTAATATTCTTCTCCTCCTTCAGATCATCTAATTGTCACTAAAAACTGTGAATTAATCTAATAACCTTACTGATGATTCTCACTTGTTCTCATCTCTCTTTCTAAAATGTTCCAAGTTAACATCTTTCTTTTTCTCTTTCTTTTAGGGCTAACGTGTCTGATTGTCCTTCCATAAAAACGATTTATCCATTTCCCAGAACTTTACCAAACTTTTCCCAGAGAAAAAAGTGAATTTATACCTTGATTGTGTATATGGATCCCAGTGTTTTTTTTGTCTTCAATAGTTGACGCTTTCCTCTCGTCATCATCATCACCATCATCATCTTCTACTTGCTTCTTACTCTTCAACTTATTATTCTCTCTCACCTCTCTTCTTCTCTCTCGTCACAAATGGATGCATCTCTCTCTCTCTTCGACAGTAACCTTACCTTTACGGAGGAAAAATACGTTACCAACCTGGCATCTTACCTTTTTTATCTTCCGTACCCAGTTCCAAGGTAAATCTACATGTATTAAGGTATAGGTAAGTTATCAATTCTCTCTCACCCTATTTTTCTTATCCTCTTCTCTCTCCTTTTTTATCATTTTACTCTCTCTCTCTCCACCCCATTGTAAAGATTTGTGATCTTCGCGTTCTCTCACTCACTCTCCTTACTCTTAAATTTTAATAAGATTACGCATGAGAAAGAAAAAGAACTCTTTTGACCTCCTGTTGTCCTTTGTTATTGAGACTCACATCATCATCTTTTTCATCTTCATCATCATATCCATCTCCATCTCCATCTTCATCATAATACTTATCATGCTGTCGTTCATTGGACCATGTACAATATTAGATCCATGGTGAGTGTTGGTTGAGGAAGAAAAAAAAACAAACTCAATTTATCAATAGTAAATTTATTCTGCAAATTGAAATACTTTTTTTTGCTAACAATTGAATTTCAAATTAACAGTTAATTATTACTTCATCATTGATGTTGTAGTATTAATCAAATAATGATAACTTATTGTAAAGTATATGTTTCAGAATGAGATTTAATTGGAAACCGCCAATGATCTGGAAAAATCAGTCAATTGTGCATATCAGAAACGATATTTACTCTATTTACATTTATGCTAATTTATAACAATAACAATTACATTTACATTATGTTAAAGAACTAATATTAATTGTGAGTTAAAGTAAATATAGTAAATTGTTACATATATTGTGAAATTGTTATTTCTATCATGATATTTTGATCATTTTACCGATGAGAAGATTTGAATTGCGTGTTAATAACAATTTTTTTTCTTTTTTCTTCTTCATACTTTAGGTAATCATCTACCGATAATATTGTATATCCACCTTATTCGATTATCATTTACATTATTTGCTTAATTCTGTAGCATTAGACACACAACGGATAACACCCAATGTAAAATGGAGATGATGATGAGGATGATAAGGAAAGAAAGATAAAGATGAAGTTGAAGTTGAAGGTGATGGCGATGTTGATGTTGATGTTGATGTTGAGCTTGATGATGATGATGAAAATAAGGAATATGATTATACCGGATGTGGATCCTTTTTTAATGGACTTTAGCTTGACTATTGGCTCCTTCTCTCTCTCTCTCTCTCTCTCTCTCTCTCTCTCTCTCTCCCTCTTCTTTTCTCGTCCAAAGACTTAGTGTTTTTCTTAAAAACATTGGGTCATCCTCTTTGGGTGACCTGAGAAATTTAGTTTCTTCAATGACTTTTTTTACACATCTTCCTCTTCTCTCTTCTCTCTTTCTATTACTATTTATCCCTCTCCCTCTTCATCTCTCTCTCTCTCCTCTTTCTATTATCCATCCTCCCTTTCTCCTTTCTCTTTCTCTTTCTCCCTCCATCTTCATCTTACAACATTGATCTTTTACTATAAAAAAAAAACCTAAATTCAATACGCAAGGTGAAGAGGAGAGAGAGAGATAAATGTAAGAGCGATCCCATATCAACAGGTAACAATTGATTGTATTTACTATTTTTGTCCCATTGGCGATTGATGCTCATTTCTTTTCGTTTTTATTCAATTTTCTTTCTCTATCTCATTATAAAGTATTGATACAAATCAACTTTATTGAATATTCACCTTGGATTTACCGATGAAATGAGCTCATTAATCAACTACAATCATTACTACCATCACTGGTGCCGAATCAATTTAATCCAATACATTAATGTAATCATGGTATTCATCCAATTATCTATCATCAGGCAACAACAATGATCAAGTGAATTAACTAATCTTTTATAAGGAAAATGAAAAAATTTTGCCGAAATTCAATTGATTAACATGTTAAATAATCAAACAAACAAATTGTCCGAATAATAGTTAACATTCATTGATCTGATTTACTTAATGAAATTAATCATTAATCATAACAATCTCGATAATCAATTGAAAAAAAGAGTAACATTGTTAACTTAATTGTTACGATAGTTTTTGTATTCTGTCCAATAACATGATTACAATTACGAGGAAAGTTGAACATGTGATTGTTATCATCATCATCGTAATAACTAACACACTTTAAATTGTGTTGAACATTAATTGTGTTAATGTTTGTTTAAATATAATTAAGGATAAAGAAACTGATTAAGAGCAGCAGTTAACAGCAACAATTAATTCAATTACGATGGAAAATTAAAATGAACATTTTTTTTACTAATCGTTTTTGTGTTGGAAACAAGGAAACCAAATTAACTTACCACTCATCTAAATTGTTTATATTTAAACAGTTAAATTATCAACAATCAATTGATGACATTCACTTAATACTACGCAATTAATGTCAAAATCAATTGTCTCTCTATTTTGATTCATTGAAATTCAATTGATCACAATTAACTCAGAAAACCTTGATCATGACCTATGGTGGTTAAGATTTTGATGATGATTGATTGATTAATGTCAACACACAGAATTGTGAAAGATTAATTGTAGTTTCTATCCTTACCTGTGTGGGGTAACAATCAATCAAATCATCATCTATATCATCATCATCTTAATCTTTATCTTCATCACTATCAACCGGAAATAAAAGTTTAAATATTTTCCATTCCGCCATTTTTATCTCTATCCGATTGTGTTGATTGTTTTCATCTTTTTCTTGTTTCTAAATGTTTTGTTTACTATTAATTAACTTGTTCATCTTCATATTACCAATGATCTTTTCGGCAGCAATTAAACCGTTAATTGTTGCGATGTTTTCATAATTGTAACAATTTACATGTTTCTCTCTCTAGACACAATTGAAGATGAAAACAATCAACGATTATCATAAGACGATTTGATGATCAGTTGATTGGATTAATAATTCTAAGGTGATTTATTTACTTAAACTAATTGTTGAGACTTGAGTAAACAATTTGGATTATAGTTTGTGTTGTGAAACAATTGAATTGAAAGGATTAAGATTAACAATTGAACGAGAAACGGATAATCACAAAGACTTTGCGACTAATTTAGATAATCAATTGTTTCTCTCTTAATATCTTGTTAGTCCTCCTTTCGTTGTAATTGATTTTAATCGAGTAAAATCAAGTGTTGATTGATTCTAATTGAGGTAATCTAAATTGTTATGATAACATTAACATGGTCATCATATAGAATTATCATTTCGAAGGCTCGAAATTTTCTTTTACAAAGAAGATGAAGAGTTTCGATCTCTCTCTCTCTCTCAATCCATTCTCTTCTAACTGTGAACTGATGTCAACTTGTTTTCTTTTTCTTTTTCTCTGACAGGTTGAGTGTCTTTCCATGGGACATTTATTTTAGAAAATAAAAAATGGACCCGCAAATTTACCTTAGCGACTGTACATATGGAGATCATCTTGGTCTTGACCGTTTCTCCCTTCCTTTCATCTTCTCTCCTCTTCTCCTTCCTGTTTCTTACCTTTCGTCTCTCTCTCTCTCTCTCTCTCTCTCTCTCTCTCTCTCCATCTTCTTTATTATTCTCTGTTGCTTTTCGTATTTTTAATAAGATTACGTTATGAGAAAGAAAGAAACTCTTGTGACCTCCTGTTGACCTTTGTTATTGAGACTCATCTTCATCTAACTATCGCTCATTGGACCATGGACAATGATGGAGATACTCTGTGAGTATTATGAAAGATTACATTAATTTCTCATCTATCAAACAGTTAATCATTTTGAAATTGTTACTTTCTGTTCAATATTCTAGATTAACAATTCGATTATCGATTGTTATCCAACGATGATGGATACTGATGAAGAAAAGGTGAGATGAAAATGATACACAATGAATACGGTCAACATTCAATGAGCTGGAAAATTCAGTCAACTGTGGTTATCACAACAAACAATTAATTTGATTTACTCATGATACTACTTTTGATAAAGAGTAAGTGGAGAGTTCAATTATTTGTTTATCGATGAGAAAATTTGAATTGCGTGTTAATAACAATTTTTTTTTCTTTTTTCTTCTTCATACTTTAGGTAATCATCTACCGATAATATTGTATATCCACCTTATTCGATTATCATTTACATTATTTGCTTAATTCTGTAGCATTAGACACACAACGGATAACACCCAATGTAAAATGGAGATGATGATGAGGATGATAAGGAAAGAAAGATAAAGATGAAGTTGAAGGTGATGGCGATGTTGATGTTGATGTTGAGGTTGATGATGATGAAAATAAGGAATATGATTATACCGGATGTGGATCCTTTTTTAATGGACTTTAGCTTGACTATTGGCTCTCTCTCTCTCTCTCTCTCTCTCTCTCTCTCTCTTTCCCTCTTCTTTTCTCGTCCAAAGACTTAGTGTTTTTCTTAAAAACATTGGGTCATCCTCTTTGGGTGACCTGAGAAATTTAGTTTCTTCAATGACTTTTTTTACACATCTTCCTCTTCTCTCTTCTCTCTTTCTATTACTATTTCTCCCTCTCCCTCTTCATATCTCTCTCCTCTTTCTATTATCCATCCTCCCTTTCTCCCTCCATCTTCATCTTACAACATTGATCTTTTACTATAAAAAAAACCTAAATTCAATACGCAAGGTGAAGAGGAGAGAGAGAGAGAGATAAATGTAAGAGCGATCCCATATCAACAGGTAACAATTGATTGTATTTACTATTTTTGTCCCATTGGCGATTGATGCTCATTTCGTTTCCTTTTTTTGTAATACATTTTACATGTTATGTCCTCTACTCATATTACTTATAGCAATTTCCCTCATCAGGAAAATGACTGATGCCGAATCAATTTAATCCAATGAATTCATGTGAATACAATGAATCGGATCTTCCACCAATTGGACTGACCATCATCAGACAGTAACAATAAACACAATCAAGTAGATCAACTTGTCTTTTAAAACGAAACTTTTGCCGAAATCAAATTGATTATTATGATAATCAGAACGATTGTTATAGTTATTATACCGAATCATTTTTGATTGCTGAATCTTTCCACTTATTCAATGATTCCATTAATCTTTAATTGCACACTCTAGACCAACAATTTAATTATCTAAAATTTACGTGTCCAGGTAATGTTATAAAAAGAAATTGTATCAACTATTTAAAATGTTAATTGTTATTAAACAAAATGACAATTAACTCTATTGTTACTGTTGTGTGTGGTGCCGCTTGTTAATTGAACATGAAAGGTCATGAAAGTAACAAACTAACCCACACGAACGCAGTGCTAACCTTTAATTATGTGAGAAATGTTTGTCACCAATTAATATAATTTGTTTAAAGGATTTAAGTTTAAACAAGATTAACGATTAGTATGTTAATTCTGTGAAGATTACGATATATCTTGATTTGTTTATTTCTTTTCGCTATCATTAGGAATTGAAATGTTCATTCAATTCCATGATAACAACTGAATTGAAGTGTTTTAAATACTAAACATGGGAAATTAAGGTTGATAGTGAAAAGACAAAAAAATATCCAAGTAACATGTAGATTCAATGATTAGAATGATAATTTCTCAATCTGCCTTCTGTTTATTCAAAGAGGGTCAGAGAGAGAGAGAGAGAGAAGGAGGAGGAAGATGAAGATGAAGATGAAGACGAAGATGATGATGATGATGAATAAGAAGCTGGTGAAGTGAGTCCGTTCCCACAGGAGGAACAGACGTTGTTTCTAATGAGACGGATATGGAGAGTGAGTCTCTCGTTTTCTCTCTCAAACTACTTCTTAATTTGTCTTCTCTTTCTTTTTCTCTTTCAGGTCCACTTTTTAAAGGGAAAGAGAGTTGGAAGAAAAGGGAGCACAAGCTGTTAGTTTAGGTAAGAGAAGATGAGAAGAGAGAGAGAAGATGATGAAGGAGAAGAGGAAAGGAGAGGTACATATGCACAATATAAGTACCATAGACATTTTGACCTGTTATCTACTTTTTTCTCTTTCTTTTCTTTCTTTAGTCTATGTGAGAAAAAAAAGGTTTCTCTAAGATGATGATGATGATTCTCTCTCTCTCTCTCACTCTGTCGATTGTCACTGCGAGTGACATTTTCATTCGGATGTTGGATGATGAGAAAGCAGATTAAGTGAAGATGCGAAAAGAGAGTTGAGATGAACATGTAATTCATTTTAGATTTTTAAGTGAAAATGAATATTTATCATTTTCCAATGAAATTATTGATAAATCACATTAAGAAATTGCTGTTGTTCAATTGTTGGGTAATAATTAGTTGATTGTGAATTAAATTGCATATGATTTAGGTGATGGTTTGGTGATGGTTGTCATTATCAATCAATCAGGAAGAGGAGGTGAAGGTGGAGGTGGAAGATGATAATTGATCTTGATGAGATGTTACACTTAAAATTATGGTTCTTTTTTTGTTCAATTGGAAATTAATTCAATTCTGATTAAGTGGTTTTCTCAAATTGTTGAGTATTTTTCTCATGTTGATTGTTGATTATTATCATTTGGAAATTATTTCGTTAATTTTCAGTTGAATCAAAATCAATGATTAAGTGTAGGTCTTAATGATAATAATGATTTTCTGTTACTTTTTTTACAGGTAAATTACTCCCACTCGTTGTTACAATTGATGGTGATGAAGATAATTAGTTAATGGTACTTGTTGGTGTTTAATTGTTTTCCTCTCTCTCTCTCTCTCTCTCTCTGATGATGATGATGATGATGGTGATTGTGATTGAGATTCTTGTTTCTTTATGGACATTGGCTATTTGGTTTGATCAGGAAAATCCTCTTGAAATTATTGATTCAATTGTTGGTGATTTACATGATGAGGAGGTGGAATTGATGGAGAAAAGAAAAAGAAATTGGAAATTTGAAAAAAATGGAGAAAAAAAGATGAAAAAGAAAATCCGACAATTAGAAACAAAGAAAAGATGAAGATGAAGATAATTACGATTATCTTAATTTACTGAAGGATGTGGTCTTGCAGTGATTAAGAAGATGATGATTATCACCATCATGGATTAACAATTTATCATGAATAACAATAACTATTATTAACTATTCAAAGGCCTTTATCTTTATCTTTTCCCTTTTGTTTTTTTTGGGTGGGTCAATATATTTACTGGTCAGCAACTGATTGACCAATAGATGAGACAATATCTCTTTGTGTGGATTATATTTTTTCTGAGTAAATTAATAACAAGATTGTTACTAAACGAGATTAACAGATTAACAGAGTAGTGGGTTAGGATTCACTGAGTGTTCACAGATTATCATCTTAATCATCAGCATCGTAATTGTCTTTATTTAAATAGAATTAAAATGAAAAAGAAGGTGAAAGTATCACAATAACCTGGAAATTATTATTTATCGTGATTCTTGATTCAAATTGAAAAGTTTTAATGGTTAGAACTTTTTTTTTATCGAACTGAATGGAGACGAACAAAAAAAAAGTTTTCAGTTTTGTGAGAATTGAGGTAAATTGTTGATTCGAGATGACAATGGTTAAGATAATGTAAATTAAGAAAATGATTAAGATGATGTCCAATTGAGAGAGATAAACTTATCTTCTTGCTTTTTCATCATGAACAGCATGTTGTTTCATCTTTACCTGAATTTCAAGCAGAAATGATTAACAATCAGTGTAAAAATCAAACATTAATGATTCAGCAAATTGAATGAAAAGTTTGTCTTTTGGGTGGTGATGATGATAGATATTAGGTAGTTAAGGTGTAGAGACAAAGACGATGATGATGATGATGATGATGATGATACTTTACCGCGATGTCATTGATAACAATTTAGATAATCAAACAATGAATGGAAAACAATTTATCAGATGAATCAACAATCAAGACAAGTGAATATGTGCTCAGGTCAATCGTGACTTTACAGAAAAGGGTCAAAGACCGATGACCAACTCGATGAGCTAAATTTTCCTCCACTTAATTTGCGATATTTTGTGCATGACAATTTCTAAATTGTTACACAATTGTCTCAACTTTTCCGTTCTATTCTTTAATTACTAACATTAACTTTTCCAAACTTCTGTCTAGTTACATTCGGCGATCATAGGTGGCGAAACTTGTCTTGTTTTCTTTTTTTCTTTTTTCAAATTTGTTCAATTTTCTTTTGCCCTCAACATGGTGAAAGAATTTTTCATCTTCTCTCTCTTTCTCTCTCTCTCTCATTTTCATCTGATGAAATTCATTTCTTCTTTTCCATCACTTATCTGATTTTAGAATTGTAATCATCATCATGATGTAGATTATCAGTGAATTTAGTTGTTCAGTGAGTTTCTAATTGCCTTTGACGTTTCTCCATCTGTGCCTTGGCTCTTTCATTAACCTTTTTCTCTTTCTTTCCATTTTTTTTTTGTTAATTTTTTTCTTCTAATTGTTGATTTTTCTTCTTTTATATATTCCTTGATATTTATTCTACAAATTATTCGTTTAACTAAATTAGTGTGTCTTCTCTTTCTCAGTGTTAATATATACTCATTCTTAATTGTGTCTGGTTTTTGATGATAACGAATTCATCTTTTAGTGTAACTTCAACCTTACCCTATCACCTTCCTTTCTTATTGTTTACCTTTTTACGGTTACAATTGATTTACTTTTCTATTTGTGGAACAAATTTTACTCTTTTAGAAATTTTCAATATTCTTTTATTGGGACTAAGATGACAACCTCGAAAACCGGTGTTTCTAAGGAGAAAAACGATTCTGCTGATTCAAAAGCTCTTTGGGTTTTTGGCTATGGTTCACTTATTTGGAATCCTGGTTTCAATTATGCAAGAAGTTCCATTGGTTCAATAAAGGGTTTCAAGAGACGATTTTGGCAAGGAAATGATGTTCACAGAGGAACACCTGATAAGGTAAAAGCCGGATTAACACTTTAACTTTTTGTCTTATTTCCTGTTTCCATGTTTTTCCTCTTACAAATCTTTTTCTCTCTGCCCTCTAATGTGTAGGTGGTTTGGATTATCTCCAATCACTTTTTCTTCAAATTTTTCATTTTAAACTTCGTTCTTAGTAGAAAATTTATTCCTCGGGCTCTGTTTCTTTCCGTTAATTCTATTCTTTTGTTATTTACTCTTACCTTTTTTCTCTCTCTAGTTGGGTCGAGTGGTAACTCTTATCGCTGAAAAAGAGGTAAGTGGCTTTTGTGGTTACTTATTTTGTAAGAAACGACAAAATTTTCCTATTCTTTTCCTTTTCTCATCAATCAGATTGTGTAAATTATGGTTGTATTTTATTCTCTCTCTCTCTCTCTCTCTCTCTCTCTCTCTCTCTCTCTCTCTCTCTCTCTCTCTCTCTCTCTCTCTCTCTCTTTCTGTTTATTTATCGATATACTTACACAGGCAATTACTTGGGGTCGAGCTTATCTTATGAAAGATGAAGATAAAGGTAAAAGTTATCTGGATCAACGTGAATGTCAAGAAGGTGGTTATGAGGCAAAAATGGTTCAATTCACACCTCGGGATGATGATGATTTTTTCCCACCTTCATCTCAATCATCCCAATCATCATCATTCCAAGTGCTAGTTTACATCGCTCTCCCAACTAATCGTTTCTTCCTTGGACCTGCACCTACAATGACCATTGCTTGTGATATTTCATTCGCTTCCGGTGAGTGTGGTACTAATGTTGAATATTTGGCTAAATTGATCGCTTTTATGAGATACAATTGGCCGGAAGTTTGGGATGATCATCTATACGAATTGGAAACATTAGTGAAAAATATTCTTTCAAAACGTTCTCCCGGTAAATTGAAAGATTTTGACAATGCGATGAACGATGAAGCAAATTGTTTATTACAAACACTTGAACGTCTCAAATTAACTGAATTTGATTTTAATTGGAGAATTGAGAAGGAGATTAAATCACTAGAATCAAGACTCAATTTTATCGAATTACCAACATCCAAAGGAGTTCGGATATGAATAAGTGTAAAACAATCACGTAACCAAATCAAAGCCAACAATTAGCACAATCTATTTTAATTTACTAATTCTTACACCTTAAGTGAAACAACATCAACAATTTAGCTGATTCTGTGAATTGACAAAGCAAAGAGGAATCAAAATCAAATGAAACAAACCAAATAATGTGCTTCTATTTATTATCCGACAATTTGTTATTCTAATTATTGTAATTTTTTCTAATCATTATTGTTGTTATTGGTGAAAATAATGATGATAATGTTAATTTTTTGTATCATCAACCATCAAATGTATACGATAAGTTGTATATGTTGGATCTCGGACATTCCCTTGGCTGTGCCTCAAGTTTTGACCACAATCCTAATTGTTGGACAATTAGTTTGTATGATTAGATTTGGAGTGGATTTAAATTCATTGAAAAGTGACACGTTTGTTTTACTATTATTGTCAAGTTGTAAATCAAACTAAAAGTAACAAGATGAACCGTGAAAACAATCAAATAACAAAACAATTAAGCTTCAATCCACTTAATTAAATTGTCGGACGTTGAACAAAACAAAAACATTGATTGATTTACTGATCAACCAGGAAATTTAAAAGTAATTTTATCCACAATTAATGTTACCTTTTAATTTTCCGGGACGATGATTAAAACCTAATGATTGAAAAAGAGTAAAGTAAATTGTTATCACTCTTTTTTTTAATCATTAATCAATTCATTCCAACTCAGGGCTGAATCAAATTGTTATAATTAAAATGAACCGACAAGATGAAGATAACAAATTGAGTTAATTTCTCCTTGATTATGAAAAAGGAAAACAATTTATGTATTAATAGATGTAAACACTCAACACTAAATGGATCAAGTAATTTGCTTACAATTAGGAAATTAAATTAATTACTGGACCATATTAAGTGAACTAAATGGTGTCCGATTGAAAACTCGTTCGTAAACTTTGACCTTAATCGGTACCTTGGGTCTAAGAACCATTTCCATGGTGAAAAGTACTTTGTCAGGTTGATCGAGGGAAACGAATCGATAATGACGAATAAGTCGAGCAAGGACAATTTTAAGTTCGGCAAGGGCGAACTTTTGACCGATACAATTTCGAGGTCCAGCTGAAAAAGGTACGTAAGCAAATGGATGACGACCCCCAGAGTTTTCGGGTAAAAATCGATCGGGATTAAAGACTTCAGGGTCAGGGAAAATTTCAGGATCTCGATGAAGTTGATAGATGAAACAATAGATAACAGTTCCAGCGGGCACAGTGTGGCCGGAAATGGTCATATCCTCGGTAGCCGATCGACCGATCAAAGGTACAGAGGGACAAAGACGAAGACCCTCTTTAACTACACAGTCAAGATACTTGAGCTGTTTAATAGCGTCCAAAGTGATCTCGGTTGTTGACCCGTTTGAACCGTCGGCTTTAATTTCAGAGTTTAAATCGTCAAACAATGAGTCGACTTCGAGTGCAAGGCGATCTTGGACTTCCATGTTGTGTCCAAGAAGATAAATTATCCAAGACATCGCCATGGCCGTTGTATCATGTCCTTCAAACATGAAAGTGTCAACTTCCTCTCTAATGTCCTCTTCTGAAAGTTCACCGCCATTAATGTGATGTTTCAACAGTAAATCCATGAAAGCCAAACGCCGTTCACTTGATGCAGGCATTGTGAGGGAAATCGGTTCACCGGAACCCGTTGATAAACTAATTGTTGATGGTCTTCGAACTTGTTTATTCATCATTTCATCTTTACGATCTCGAATAACTTTCATGGTAAAATCGTGTAAATGTTGAACTTTCCGACGAAACTCTTTGCCTCTTTCTAATCGGTAGTAAATTGCATCAGGCCAATAACTGGGTTGCATTAGACGTTCAAGGAAACACTCACCAACCCTGAAATAGAACAAGAATAGAAGAGAATAAAAGATGAAAAAAAAGAACAAAAGAAAATAATGATAAATATAAACGAAAAAAGTTCCAATTGTTTGATAATCAAGAACAGAAAAAAAAATATTATTCTTACTCATAAACTGCTCGACAATAACTATTGTTGGGATTATTTTGAGCTCCAATTGATACTCCCATGATTGTTTCTGTTGAGAAAAGGAAATGTTGTCAATCTAAATTGTTGAGAAAATGAGAATGAGAAACAACTGACCACAAATAATGTCCAAAGTACAGGCAGTAACAACAGGGACAATGTCGATTGGTTGACCGGATCGGGCGATTTCCCTTAATCGGTCAACCATTACGTTGCCCTGCTCATTGAAAACGGGAACGAAATCATGTAAAATTTTAAAATGAAAAGCGGGAACCAACAGTTTCCTCCGTGATCTCCACTTGTTACCTGTGGAGGTTAATAAACCAGTGCCCAACCAGGGATGAAGTAAATCATATTGAGATGATTTATCTAATAGAAAATTATTTGATAAAATAGTTTCAACGTTTTCGGGCTTCCAAAGGATAACAACAGGTTCCCAACCCAACCAAAGACGAAATATCCTATCGGAATCATAGATTTGTGTATAACCACGAACAGCATTTAACAGCACTGAACAATTAAACAAAAGAAATTAACTCAACAATTAACCAAAAAAGAGAAACAAAACAAAAAGTTACGTCGCATCAGTTAAGACCCGACGATCGATATCAGATCAATTCTTTTCGTTCTTGGTAAAATTTCTGAACTTTTCACTCGAAAGATGAACCCAAAGGGTGAGACTCGAACTCGACTCAATCGTACAAACTGAATCTTTGTATCGATCACAAAAGAAAGTAAACTTTTCCTTGATTAGTTAATTTCTCTCTCTCGCAATCTCCCTGTCGATGATTCAATGAAGATTATCTACTTACTGTAGTATAAATCCTTCGAGGCTTCGTAATCCGCTCCGATGTATTTCAATATTTCTATTGGCAGGTTACCCATCAAGGGATTGAACGATTTGGGTCCAGGTAATTTATCAATCATTTGATTTCGTCTTCTCATTGATTGTGCTTTTTTGTACAAATAATAATAACCAATGAAACATAGTAAACATGTTAAAATAATTCGTATCAGAATTATATAGAAAGATGATCCTGATGATATTGGAGATGGAGACGGAATTGAGGTCGCATCCAATTCTGGAGAAACATCAAGAGTTGACATTATTATCAAACGAAAATGAGATTCACTTTATTTGGAATAGAAAATTTTTACTCAATTCTGATTTTCTCTCCAATCAATTGGTAACTAGAACAATTAGAAAATTGATTATTCTTTTTCTACACTGATGATTAAGTTAATCACATACACAGACACAAACTTAAATAATGAATTAAACTAAGAAATTAGATCCGATTTGTTACATTAATCGGATTGACCAAAGATTTTGATCAACTTCATAATGGCAACTGAGAGACGATTGGAAAAACTGTTGTAAACAACAGTTAATTGTAATTAATTTCTCTCTCTCTCTTTCTCTCTCTTTTCACTTTCTCTTCCAGGTTAATTGTGACTCTGTTTTTGGAGGTGGTGATACAATTGATGGCTAAATATTCAATCAGAGCGTAGCAGCAACAACTATAACGGATACAATCATTTTCCAAGAAACAATATTAACCTTGACCACTTTTCTCTCTCTCACCTTATCCTTTTTCTAAGTTAATGTTGTAATCTAATTGTTTGACAGACTAATTATTCCACTACCTGTCAAGTTGAAATCTAATCAACGAATTAGCGATTTCCCTTCGAGTTTTTGTTTCGATATTGGAAAGAGAAGCCAAAAAAAGGAACAATATCAACGGAACTTTTTTTTCTTCTCTTTTCACCCTTGGATTGGAATCGAAATTTTCTCAACCATTTCATAGATTTAGTAAGTTACGAGCTCACAATTTAGCTGTTCAAAGTTTAAGAATTACGACAATCAACCTTGGTTGGAATCACAATTAACTCTATGAAAGAACAGCAATACAATTATGGTAACTAAAATTCTGATACTCAATTAATTTCCTGTTTTCGTATTGATTTAAAAGATCGAAACTTTTTTCCAAGTGTTGATTGATCATATTTTCTGTCGATTTTTTTTTGTTTCTTAATTTGGATCTCAAGGTGATTTATTGATTGATTAAAATGTTAAAGTTGATTGTCAACTATTGGAATATTTGTTTGATTGTTTTTGAAATTAAGCCAATAGAAAGTTGAAAAGTCACATTGATTATTTGCTCGTGTGATTTTGAGTAAACCTTGAGGAAAGATCAACATTTTTTCAGGGTTATCATCCTTGACACTTTTACCTTCTTCCGGGTTTATATTGTGTTAATAATAGACTTTATTTATTGGATTAACTAATTGTTTACTGATTGTCGTTGGAAAAAAAGAGATAAATCAATAACTGTAATCAGAAAACTTTGAATTTCAATCATTTGAACAAATATTTCATCTAATATTAGTTTTGTTCTTGAAAATGTAAATATTTTTAACACTGTTTCTTATTAATGGTTAGTCTTGTTAAACAATCAATCGATTATCTTGATTATAATTGTTTGTATTCAGTGGTTATAATCAAAGTTGATTTTTGTTTCTAGTAAATTGATTGAGTCAATTTTAATTTCAGGTAATTGTTTTATTTTATTTAACAAAAATTGGTTTGAGTAAATTAAAAAGTGAATTTAATTTGTTACAAATGAATGATTATGGATAAGATGTGATGAGTAATTTAAATTGATGATCAAAAAGTAACCACCAGTAGTGTTTACAATAGTTCAATGTAATCAATTTGAATTAAGTTGGAAAAGGTTGATTGACTAGAGAGAGAGAGAGAGAGAGAGAGAGAGATGATGATGATGATGATGATGATGAGGATGATTGTATTAAAAGGTTGAGTGGTTTAAAGTTGATTATAATTGTGATTAGTTGGTTTTACTTTCTGATTTCTGTTGATTGGTAAAAATTAATCTTTTGTTTGGAAACACGAGAAACATTTCTTCCTTGTTCATTGGAGTCACATTTCTCATGGAATCACATGGTGATCATCTTTTCCTTTTGAATAGATAACTCGTTCAACACATGGGAAATTAATTTCTCAGTGAGCATAATTAAATTACTATTGATTATTTAACTTTTTCCAAGGTTATAGCTCATTCAATTGAGACATTTCAGCCCTTATAACAAGTAAGTTCACTAGTGCGGTAACTCGAGGTTTCATCGTGGTAAATTAGATGTTGATCCATTAAATGATTCAAGTAGAATCAATTCCTCGAGTCTAAATTGAAATTTGAGAGAATAAAAAAGAAAAAAATTAGAAATTTTTATATACGAAAAAAATGAATCAATTTAATAGATTAACTGATTAGATGAAGTCTCAGAGATCGGATTGAGAAGAGATTTCAACTCATTGTCCCCGTTTTCACTCCAACCATTGAAATAAATTGCAACAATTAAGAGATGGGAACTTGGTATTAGCATGGCACTACTCATCATTGAATTCATCATTTCAATTAAATGGATCATCAATAATCTCATGAAATAAGAAAAAAGAAAATGTATCAATACCTTAACAATGGATTTCATGTCAATCTTTTAAAGATGAAAATTGTTGTGACGTAAATGATTCAGAGATTTCTAATGGTTGATTGATCACATTGGTAATCAATTGAATTAAATCATTGAGCTTTTGTATTTGTTAGAAGATAAATTGTTCTGTTGATTGTGGAAAAATTTTCTCAAAGCTTCTTTTATTTCATTGGTTCCTTTGTTTCCTTCGATTTCCATTTCATGAGTTCGTTGGGCCACTTTACGAATTAATTTCTCTTTCATTTCGGGCAATAGTTTGGTAAATGTTTCCAAAAGTCGAAGTAATTTAGTTACAGTACCAACACTTAGAACTCGTTGAATCATTTCAAACAGTTTAGGAAGAATAATTCATCTACATGATTATCCTTATTAATACTTATGAAGATTATCATCTTAGTGAGAACAGTTTTTATTCGAGTCTGTCCCGATTCATCACTTTTAATATAACGATCCATTAATTCAGGTAGAAAATCACTGATTTCTTTCACTATTAGGGGATCGTTATCTTGGAATAAGTAATCACAGAATTTTTCCCGTTGGGTGAGATCAACTTTCGGGTGACAAGTAAATTGGAAAAAATTATAACGAAATTCAGATGAATTCAGTTTGCCAGAATCTTTGATATAACTTAGATAAGTTAAATTCGCAGCCACTTGAGATAAATTCATTGCTTCGATTGCTCCTTTCGCGTATTGATTTTTAACAAATCCCATGAAATCTTTTAACACATTTACTATAAATGGTCCGTATGAGTGTTTATATGGTGACGAAGTTAACACTTTGGGAATATAATTACGAACATGACGAACAATGTTGGAAATTGATGTAACCACAGCAAATAAATCTCGATCAGCTAATTGTGCGAAAACTTTACAGATTGTTGCAGGAATCAGGGGACAATTTCCTATTGTATCAACTTTTACTTCGGACAGATAGATCAACTCATCAAAGTAGAGTAAGATTATTTCACTACACGAATCTCGAGCTACACGATTTGACTTGTCCAATTTAGAGTAAACTTCAGCCAGTTTATCGAATACTTCAAATGCAATTGAGAGCATTTTATTCATGTCAGAATCATCGGGAAGCATTTGAGCTGAACAAATTATCCATTGGATCACTAATTTGCATCTTATTGAGTAAATTGATCTGTTAATGATTAAGTTTGCCGTTTCTCGGAATCTGTCAATAAGATCGGTATAAAATTGGTCCGATGCATAGCAGCAAACAATTAAGATTGTAAAAACTTTGTGTAACTGAATCTCATTCATTTGATCAACAGGGCAATTTGATAGAGCAGAGAAAATATCACTTTTAAGTTTCTTCCACATTTGTAGATTTTGAATATCATTGGCATTAATTTGTAGTTTAGAAATCACCTTTTCCAAAAGTAAAACAAGAAGTGCAAGAGTTTTATCATCCCAGTCTGATGCTGAGCCTCGTTCGAAAAGGATTCTCAATTTAAGAGACCATTGATTACTCGTCTTGGGTAAAGAATAAAAAACTGATTTCGACAAACTGGGTGAGGTTAAACTCTTAAGATAACATTTGATAAACTCTGAAGGTATATCAACACAAACTCCACATCTTTTAACAGAATTGTAACATAATTGCAAAGAGATTTCCATAGATTCGCTCTGCGTAAAACCGGAAGCTTCGTATTCTTGTAAAATGGGAATAATCGAATGGGTGAAACCAATAGAGTTACAAAAATCTTGATCAGTTGATTTCTCTTTCGATGTGTTGATTAGCTCCATTAGATTACTCATAAGCCAAATGTTGGCAATGTTAAGATTAGCGGCTGAGGTAAAGTTACTGGGAACACGTTTATAAGTGGTAAGACTGTCTCTTTCTTGGTTCTCTTTTCGGTTTTCTTCGCAAAATGTGTCCATCACGGAATTATAGTGGAACCAGAATGGATCAAGGTTGAGAATGGCTGAATCCAAATGGACTAGACTCTTAACTATTGTAAAGAAAACGCGATGACAGGAACAAAAGTAAGGATCCAAAGTTGGCACCATTCGTAAATCTTTGGTTGATATAAATCTTTGTAGTGAAGCATAAATTAGATCTGCTAGAATACATTCTAAAAATTTACTTCTAAAATCATCTGATGTATTTATATCACTGAGGAGATCAATTTTCACCCTGGTTCGTTTGTTGTATTCACATAAGATGAGAAAAGAAATCAACCAAATATCAAGACAAACGTGTAAGTATTGATGAGAAGGTGATTGACTTTCGCTTTGAATGATGTAAATATTTGGATCAAAATCCTCTAACATAGATAATCTTCCCATGAAGGTAGTTAAATTGATGATTTCTTTGATGATAATTTGCTCTAATCTTTCATCTATGTTACCAACTTTTCCTCCAATGAGCTTGAGAAAGTTAAAAATTTGCTCCCTATAACTTGACCATAGAGATCTATTAGAAGCTGATCTTTTGGCCGTTATTCCAGCTCTAAACATACTAATAGTTTTTCTATAATGGAAAAGAGCAAAAGAAAAGGGATGATTATTATCACTGAGAAGACAATGAACAATAATAAATAAAATTTATTAAACTTACTTGACCAGAGAAAAATAATGTATCACATCTTCGGGTGTAGTTGACTCATTAAATTGTAATTTTTGACCCAAAATTTCAATCTCTTCCATAGGGTCAACTTGAATGAAGCTAATACGAAGGTATTAAAAGAAATGCAAATCACAATTAGCATAAAAATCAGAAAATATTGAGAAATGGAAGAAAAGAAAATCTAAAACTGTACTTACAGTTTAAGCTTCTCTTCAAATCTTTGGGTCATAGTAGAAAGAGATTCGTATCTTTTATCACACTTTAAATAATTTACTGAATTCATATTTACATTCAATATGAGACAAACTCTATTAAGAAAATTTAACTAATAACAATTAAAAAGTAAAACAATTATAAACAATTAAGAAAATAAAACGATCAAAATAAAACAAGTTCACTTTCACAATGAGGCTCTTTGAATGAGCGGGAACAATTGTTCCCGAAACAAAGATATCGATACTTTTTCTTTGGATTCTTATCGATAACTCACTTAGAATCATTTCTGAAGAAGGAAAATCTGACATGGAAGATTTCCAATCGATTTCAAGGAATGGATCGAACAATTCTTGAGATTAATCAAGAAAAATCATAATTTTTATCAGTAATTTATCTCGATAACTTAAAATCAATCGATATTGAAATCGAGTATCAACAAGTAGCAGCGGGAATCTTTCGTATCCAATTTGATGAGATTCGTCACCAGATTTCGCTTCAATCGAAAGGCGGCAAATTGGAATGGAAGAAAAATAATCGAAACTTAATTGTTATCAATGATTATACATCTAATTTAATATTCGAAGAATTTTCTTTTGGTTTAAAGATATTTTCAGATGCTAATTACGTTTTAACGTTTCAAGGTCATAAGAAGATGATTTTAAATGAAAAGACGATTGGTCATAGTTCGAAGTCTAAATGAGCCATCCAAGGACTCGAGCGATAACTGAAAGGAAGAATTAGATTGGGAGTTTATTCTGATATAAAAAGAATTTGTTGATTTAGTAATTTTGAAATGAATTCGAAGATTGAATAAAATATCTCTCGAAACTTTTGATTTCGAAATTTGGAGGGAAATGTTATCTTTGAAATTCGCTCGATAATCTAATAGATGTGAAGATTAATTCAATTGTTAGAAATTCGAAAGAGGAAAAAAAGAGAAAGAAATCATTTCCAATCTTCTCTTTCTTTTCCATTTAACCAGAAATTCACTTAGAATTCATGCTCACATTTTCTCTCTCCACTCAACCAAATTCTCTTTCTTCCCAATCCTCATCTTCTTCCTTCGATTTTCACCCTGTCTTTATTTCTCTCTCTCTCTCTCTCTTTCTATTATTTTCCTCTTCCACCTTCTTTCAATGTTTCAATGTTATTAATCTGAATCTCTTATCATCATCATCTCTCCATCGCCACTTTTCCCTCTGTTTGTGTTTCTTTCTCTCTTTCCTTATGTACATATAATTTATTCTAATCAATGGATAATCTACTAAATTGTTCATCATTCCACCATCAACAATTGTCCATGAAAAGACGAGGATAAAAAAGATCGTATCAACAATCAACCAAGAAAATGATTCTCAACCTTTTTATTAACATTCAACCAAAAGCCTCGCCCTTTGTTAATAGACAACAACAACATGATGGTGAACATTTTCCTCTCAATTAATTGATTTCTCTCTCCATTGATTTGTGATTCTTAATTATTTCATTTAACCATCACCCTTGTTCCTTAATTGATGAAAATGATTCCTCCAAGTGATCAAAATTTCCTGTTTACAGTTACAATATTTACCAGTTTTATTTGCTTCTCTCAAGGTAAATATAAAACTCATTTTGTATAAAATGTTTTCTTTCCATAAGCAACTCTGTTTATATAGAAATGATTGATTGTGTTATATTTGATCCGTTTTTCTCTCTCTCATAATCAAATCCATCATTGTCATTACATTTGTCCACAGGAGCATCGAATCCCAAAATTAAGCCATTCAGTTTTCCAAAAAGCACAATCGCTGGAGAAACTGTTTCGGTCACTTGTGTACTGTCCACTATCACGGCTCAAACGGACTTTAAATGGCTCAAAGACGGTGTTGATTTAGCAATTATCTCGCAAAGAGATAGACGATATCAACTATTACCTGCTAAAGGTGCTTCAGTTTTGTTAATTAATTCAGTTAATCTAGAAGATTATGGTAATTACACTTGTATTGTTAATACTCCCTTCGGGTCGGATAAATTTACTGCTCCATTGACCATCTACACTCCACCCAAATGGATACTTGAATTGTTTGACCTCTCGATGAAACAAGGAGAGGTTAAAATACTTGATTGTATGGCAACTGGTAATCCAATGCCAACAATTACCTGGTTAATCAGTGAGTCATCTCAAGGTAAGATGAATGATACAATTAACTGTAACATGAATTAATTTTTACTCTTTTCCCATTAATTCAGATGAAAACAATTTCGCACAAATTAACAGTAATTCAATGGTGAAAGGAATGACCAGTTTAGCCAATGGATCTCTGCTCATTGATAGTGAAAAATTAAATTTTAAAGACAAATCAGCTTACCTTCAATGCTCAGCTGATAATAAGATTGGTGACCCATTAAAGAAAACAATTAAGCTCAATTTAATCGGTATGATTTGTTCCCTTAACGATTAACTTCTCATATCCACAGTAATCAAAATGCTTTAATTTCATTTTCTTCAATAAGATTGATGTAACTTTTTTTATTTCGGTTTATTATTTGGTTTCTATTTGAATCTCTCTCGTTAATTGTTTGCATCTCATTTTTTTCGCATGTTTCTGTGAGTACATGATTAATTATCTAATCCAATGATTAGAATGTAAATTGTTTCCTCTTATTCAATATTAACTAATTTTCTTTTCCTTCCAGTGCCTGCTCGCTTTATCGGTAATAACAGTAAATTCTTGACCCAAGAAGTGATGAAAGGAACCAGTGCTAATCTCCAATGTCCAGCGATCGGTGATCAACCATTAACAGTTCAATGGTTACGAGATAAACAACCGTTAAATTTAAAATACAATAGTAAATATGATTACTATGAGACGAAAACTGGTAAAGGATTAAACTCCGAGATATTAATTCGTATCACTAGTCGGTCAGATGGAGGTGTTTACACTTGTACTGCCAAAAACGATCATGGTTCCGATGAGATTAACATTAAATTGTTAATTCAAGAAGCACCTGAATCACCATCCAATTTAAGGGTAGCCGAATCATGGTCAAGAAGTGCAACAATCATGTGGTCACAACCTTATTCTGGTAATTCACCATTAACCTTTTACACTTTACTCTATTGGAAAGGGGAAAAAGGTTCAGGAATTAATAATAAATTAAATGAGATACAATTAGATCCTGGAAAAACGTCACATACACTCAAAGATTTAAGTCCAGGTACATTGTATTATGTTTCCGTGATGGCGGTAAATAGTATCGGCTCAGGTCAACCCTCGAATTCCCATAAATTCACCACAAGTGAAGAACGTAAGTTTCAATCAATGGAAATTTAATTAGAAGAGAAAAGAAAAATAATAATAACAATTATTCATTCGTTTTCCTTACTAATGTAGTTCCAAGTGCTTCTCCAGTTGATGTCAGTGTAAAACCTTTGGGATCAAGTGTAATCCAAGTCTCGTGGAAGGTAATTATTGCAGTGATTAAATCAAATATCCTTCACAATTAACTGTTGATTACTTTGTTTTATATAATTGATTCAGGCTCCTCCACGGCAACATTGGAATGGTAATTTAACCGGTTATTATATTCACTATAAACCATCAGGAAATAATCAAGATTATATCAAAACGGTATCAGCTAATTATCCCAATGATTTAGGAAATGGTTACCAATTTAGTTTAACGGGTCTACTAAGGTCAACCTATTATACGATCTCGGTGAAAGTTTTTAATACCATTGGTCAAGGACCTTCATCTCAGGAGTTAATTGTTTCGACTCTTGAAGGTGATGCTCCAAGTTTACCACGAATTAAATCTCATCATATTTACTCAAATTCAATTAAATTAACTTGGGATCCATTGATTGATGAAATATCAATTTATACAATTTATCTTAAACGAAAGGGAAACTCTTATTATGACAATATAATTCCAATAAGTCATTTTCGGACAATTTATACTCTACATGGGTTAGAGAAAAATGTGGACTATGTAATCGCAATTTCAGCGACCAATTTATACGGAGAAAGTGAATTAAGTAAACCATTAGAGATTCGAATTTCATCAAGTCCATTTGGTGAGAATTTAAAATAATTTAAATTGTCCAAATTTCCTTACAATTAATTGTTGTATTTTGTTTTTCTCTTCTCAGGTTTATCATTCCTATTCTCTCAGCGTAATTTAGTGTTGTTAATTGTTTTCTCAATTTGTTTATTGGCCGTTATAATATCCATCATTGCTTCCGTTATCTATGTAAAGAAATATAAGAAAAGTCAACAAGAGGGTAAGTGATGAAGAGAAAATTTTGACTGAAGACTTTGATTTTTTTTCTGTTTGTTTGATTGTTTCATCTTCTTAATTGTTCAGCTATAAGACGACTTTCCAATTTATCAACAATGACAAAGAATACTCCAAAATATAGTGATAAATGTGGTACAACTCGATCAACGGCAACTTATGCAACTATCGGTCCACCAACTGGACATGTCACCATACGATCAGCTGGATCAAATTCACAATCATCATCAGGAGGATATGAAAGGAACATTTCTGATTTAGAAGATTCAAGAAATTATCAAGTAATTATCTCTCGATTTTCTATCGATTTTTATCCAAATCTTGGCTGATTAACTTTTCTTCTTCCAATGTTTTCCAATTAATTAGAGTTCTGGTCGACATGCAAGAAAAATGTCCCGACATTCAATTGGATCCATGAAAGAGAAAAATTTCGAAGAGCTTATATACGATGATGCACCGATTGGTTAATTCACTTCAACTGGTTAATAAGATGATCAACAATTTTCCTTTTGCTCTTTTCCATGAAGTGTTTTGGTTTAAATTTTTACCTCCATTCTCTCATTGGCTCAATTAAACCAGAACTTTTTCTCTCTCTCTCTCTCTCGGGAAACTCTCCAATGTCCAGGTTGTAATCGTTTGGTTTACCATAAAGAAGAGAAAGAGATTTTCTTTCAACGTTCACCATCATGTTTGTAAGACTTTTATGTTATCAATAATT